ACCTATCAAAAATATTTCCGCCTGCACCTTATTTTTAATAGCAATCTTATCTGTAGACTGCCATAAAAATTTCAAGGCGCAAACGGACGCAGAACGCACCTAATATACAAAAATGTGATATTTAGCTAATGAAACAATTGCCTATCTAGCTTCTACATTTCTTAACACATTCGTGTCGGAGCGTTTGGAGCCGCACTTGATATGGGTTCTGGGTGATCTCGCGTCTATTTCTTTCAATAGCGGTATATTGAGAAAAACTGCTACAACTAAAGTATATTTTTCAAAAAAATTTTATTTGTGTAGTATCGGGGCCTCCATACCCAAATAGGAAACCTCTAAGGGACAATAGAGAGGGAGTGGTTGGCGTAGCGCGCAAAGCCTCGGCCTGCTAAGCAGAAGGTCCCGGGTTCGATTCCCGTTAGGTCCCTCAATATTTTTCCCTAGGTTCCTATAAATGGGGGCTCGTCCATGGGGGAAACCAGGCGCTGTGAGATGAAAACATGCGAGAGGGTTGCATGTCTCCCAAAAAGAGTTGAGAAATAGAGTTTCGGCTGAGAGTGCCACTGTGTGAGGGGAGTGGTACCCGAAAGTGTTGAGTTGAGTTGCGTTGCACTAAGGACATTCGAGGGCGAATGTCAGTTCAGAATGGCCGAGTGTAATATCGGGGCCTCCATACCCAAACAGGAAACCTCTAAGGGACAATAGAGAGGGAGTGGTTGGCGTAGCGCGCAAAGCCTCGGCCTGCTAAGCAGAAGGTCCCGGGTTCGATTCCCGTTCAGGTCCGTCGATATTTTTTCCCTAGGTACCTATAAATGGGGGCTCGTCCGGGATGGAGGTATCTACGGCTACACGAAGCCAGGAGTTGTGCGGTGAAAAACACGTTGAGAGTTGCACGTCTTCCGAAAATGAGTTGTTTCGGCTGTTGTGCCACTGTGTTGGGGGAGTGTACCCGAAAGTGTTGAGTTGCTGAACTTAGGTCAGTTTAGAATGGCCGAGTGTAGTATCGGGGCCTCCATACCCAAATAGGGAACCTCGAAGGGACAATGTTGAGGGAGTGGTTGGCGTAGCGCGCAAAAGCAGAAGGTCCTAGGTTGTTGGGTCCCCCGATACTTTTTTCCTTAGGTTCCTACATTTGTTGCGGCATTTCTGAAGAGAAATCGAGCCATTCGTAGCGTTTTTATAAATTTCTTTCGAGACAGATGGAAATGAGTGAAAATCTCAAAGACTTGAAACGAGCGAATCTCAAAATCTGAATTGCATTCACAAAACTATGAATTTCTCGACAATATTCTCGAGAGTATCTATGTACGTAAGCAAGCGAAACGAAAAAATGGCGTGATCCACTGAAGATATGTTAATCACGCTGCATACACAATTACAAAATCAACAAGGCGCCGGTAATAGGACATTAATCAGCACTCAGTGTAACACGACGTCGTCACACTCGAGAATCTCAGCAATGTCTCACGTTTCCACGGGTTTCTCTGTTTCAGTCCCGATATCGCACATCGTGACACTGGTCGGAGATCCCACGTATCTTCCCTGCGACATATCAACCACCCACGAAGAGGATTCAGTGCACCTTGTGCTCTGGTACCGCGAGGACCTCGGTACATCGGTTTACAGGTAAGGCGTAAATCAATCTGTACACAAGCGGGCAGATGGATCGTGTCTCCATTCGATACACGTTCGATCCAGTGAAAATTGAGCCTGTCCTCCTTCGAAATCTTACCAGGAGGATTCGTTAATCCTTAAAGAGAATGCTTGGAAATTTTAACAGGGGGAAGTTGGGTTTTGGTATCGCCAATGGAGAGTACGTAAATTAAAATCATATACTGGTGCATGAGTGGACTAAAAATTGAGCCATTTTTTTTTTAATCTTGGGAGGAGGATTCGTTAATTTTTAAGGAGAATGCTTGGAAATTTTAACAAGTGGAAGTTATAATTTTGGTATCACCAATGGAGAATACGTAAATTAAAATTAAATAGTGGTGTATAAGTGGGCTGAAAATTGAGCCATTTTCGTTGAAATCTTGGGAGGAGAATTTGTTAATTCGTAAGGAGGAATATTATTCGAGTCGAATGTTGCAATTTAGATCGATATTTCCAATGAATCTTTGAATCTGAGAAAAAAAATTTAAGCGCATTCTAATTCCACAACCTTTTCTCATTTCTTCTTCTTTTTTTGGTAAGAATTTTCTTGGATTTTCGTTCAAACATTTTTCGCTATCGACGCGAACTTACGGGATGATCTAATGCATAAATTAAAGTAATATAGTGTAGTCTTCGGCGTCCGTCTACTACCGAGTTTTTCGCTATCGACGCGAACTTACGGGATGATCTAATGCATAAATTAAAGTAATATAGTGTAGGAGATGGTCTAATGAACTTCACTCAAATCAGGATGTCGTGCAAAGTAGTTTATTCCGGACTCTTCGGCGTCCGTCTACTACCGAAGCTAAGAACGATGCATACACTACCGGCCAAAAATTTCGAATCACCTCCCAATTTTCATCAGCACTGAATCTGCTACTAATTTTTCATAGACTTGATATTGATGTTATGGAGATAAATAGCAATTTGTCTCGTATCGATTGATTTGAATGATACAAAATTCGTTCAAAAATTCTTAAAGCTGCTCGACTTTTTTCTGCGAATTTTTGTGTAACTTGCAATGCACAGTGATTCCAAACTTTTGGCCGATAGTGTATATCGCTGGGCCGAACCGATGGGTACTCGGGTCTGGTGTTTGTCACTCGCCAAGAGGCTCAGGCCAAGCCATAAACCGTCCCAAAAAGCCTAAAATAGTGGAATATGACTAACTCTTCCACAACCTGACTACTAAAATTTCGTGTTAAGGGTCTATTTTTCATTTTTCTCAGACAATACAAATGGGTTAAAGAAGCTTTCTTCGTTACGTTAAGGGATCACGAGGAAAATTCATCGATGCAAATTTTATTTCGAATCTCACTTGAGGCAACATTTCAAAATTCTTAAAAACATTAATTATAGGTTCAACTATAATTTTTGTAGCGCCAAAATAATACAGCGATCGATGCGTACCGATAATTATAAAAGAAGTAAACGAATGTTTTCTGTACATCGAAAAAATTACTTCAAATATCAAAAGGTGAATGTTTAAAAATATTCAAAAGTATCTGAATCGCGTCTAAATTAATTACAGCACCTCGAAGCAGCGTGTAAAATAACTTCTTTCAAGTATCGACGTAGATTAATTCCAAGTTTCTCGAATAAAAAGTTGAAGATTAATTATTTAGACGGCGGCAAAGATATTCAGTTGGCGGTAACATTCATAAATCCGTTTTTATCGCGTCCTTTCAGGCGCGAAACGCTTTTTCTGGAAGAAGCTTCGTCATGGCGCCGTCAAAACTGGCGAGAATCTTAAAACGAGCGGGCCCTGGACGTTCTACATTTAAAACCGTCCGATTCATTCGTGTTCCCGGAGAAACTTTAATTTATTCACCGCGCTAACTCGGGGAACACGTCTATCCATCTGACAGAAACGTCCTGCCTGTAGCGTTAATTAAAATAATTCTGAAGAAATTTCGTCGTCACGCAGACTTTCTACAAAGAAAACAGAAATTCGCCGAAATAAGTGTGTATTATTGTAAAAGCTGGAAAATAGGAAAATGTTGTTTTTTTTTTTCTTTCCTAGTCGGTTTCGTAGTAATTAAAATAGTCAAACGAAACGAGATACATGGTACAGAAAGGTTAGTGAAAATAATGATACGGAGGAAAAGGAAGGAATAGTAAATAACGATGTGAGAGAAAGAAAAGAGGTAATAAATAACGATGTGACAGAAACGAAAGAAATAATAAATTTCCTGAAATTTCCATCTTCCGAATTTAATTATTATACAAATTATAATAATTAGTCTGGAATCACCAATTCGATTTAAAATTACTGTTAATATTCCTGCTCTGTAAGATTTTATGTTATTATAAAAAATAATTAAACAGTAAGAAATTAATCCTAGGCCGTCTCAGCCTAGTATAATGGTTAATATGTTAGGACTTATGATTATAAGAATTATAGATATTAGGAATATAATAACTAAATATAAGTATTTATTTATTAAATAAATATTTATTTTTATATATTCAGTTCTATAGATAATTACTATAGATGAAATAATTAAAATTATTATAATAAAAAATATTATTTTATTGTCTAATATAATGAATATATTTAATTTTATTGAATTAATTTCTATAATTATTCATTCAATAATAATGATTTTGTTTAAGTTAGTAAAAGTTATTCCAATTATGAAAAATATAATTCTTATAAATATTAAAATGAAGCTTGTAGTTATTATTTTAATAATAATTTAAAGTAGATAATATTTACATTGCTGATTCCACAAATCATTGTTTTTATTTAAACTATTTAAATAAATGAATATAGATCTTAGGATCGCGAGATCACAGATCTCAGCGTTACATTATCGCTGAATACAATTTTACACGAAGTTTCAAATTTCTGTTCCAGCGTCGATGTGAGAGATCGAGATTTCGGTATCGCTGAACGATGGTCAGACAGCGTGTTCTCGAATCGAGCCTACTTCATGCCGGACAAGAAACCGGCCGAACTTGGCGTGAACTACACGAAAGAAGAAGACGCTGGGATCTACAGGTGTCGCGTGGATTTCCAGATCGGCCAGACCAGAAATTCCAAAGTCAATTTAACGGTGATAGGTGAGTAAATTAATCCTTCACTTTCCTTCCAATTAATCGAGCCACTCGAGAATCAAAATCCCCACTCGTTCACGTCCCTTCGATTCCAGTATCAAACCACTTGGTGCTTAATTTTTCACAAATCAGACAAACTTAATCAATTCCACTCGGCAGTTCTCTGTAATCGACAAAATTTTCCTGTATTCGTAACGCATTTGGCAGCTTCTCTCTTAAAACTTCCACAACAATAACTGTTCCGTCGCGCAGGTACAGAACGCGTGGGGTCTTCGTTGACCGGGTTTATGGCACGCTCGCACCAGAAGGTTATTTTTGAGAACAAAGACGCTTCGTAGCTCCGCGAAAAAGTAAGTAATTTCTTACAGAACAATGCCTTCAGAATTTCGACTTTTCCGCGTCCTCGATAACCGAAGACGTGTCATAAACCAGGTATTCCTGAAGGGTCAATCGACACGCGCGTATAACGGCACTCTCGGCCGCGGGTTGACCTGGCGGGAATTTCCGACGCGTCACCGAAGGACGGCGAAGATTCCACGCAGCCGCAGGTAGGGCCCCACTCCTTCCAAGGAAAAGCGCGCTAAGGGCGCAATGGAAGGGTGGGTGACACTCAAGGGGCACGTGGATTGGTAATTTGTGCGTACGTGAAAAACCAATCAGCGTGCCTTTTTACACTTGGCGGGGGAGTCACTGCGAAAAAATTCGGCAATCGAGCGACAGATTCAGAAAAGGTTCTATCGAGCGAACACCATTAGATCTCCAGCCGTTCGAGGAGACGCAACACATTCGCAAAGATTCTCTCGTGTGAACAAGACACACTCTCCAGCCGTTCGAGGAGACACAACACATTCGCAAAGATTCTCTCGTGTGAACAAGACACACTCTCCAGCCGTTCGAGGAGACACAAGTACACTTCGAGTCGCGATCGAATACTCGAGTTTTCAAACAAGTCGTCAATCGTTTCGTGACGCACTCCACGTTTGCTATGTATCAGCAGAACAAATTTGAACTAGTTACCGAAAATGAATTTGGCGGGTAACGGTTCATTTCGAACATCGCAAAAGAACGCGACGCGACCGAGTAAAACAAAAGCAGGCCAAAAGGAGAGAAATAATCTGCTAGAAAACCAGTAGCTCACGAAGGATTGTAAAAATTGTACAGAGTAATTCACAAATCAATTCTCGTATTCAAACAATACATCCGAAGAACGAACCAGGAGCGATAACATTTCAGCGATAATTAAATTCTCCTCTCGTTCCGTCGTTTTCCACGTTTGCAATAAAAACAAGAAAAAAACAGAAGCTCCGAAAAACAAGGAGAACAGGTAAAACATTGTCGATCTCGGCGCGCTCATCTGTTTATACCGAGAAACGTCAGGCGGAATGGAAGCGTGAAACGCGATCGAATATTCGCCGGAACATATTGTTGTCGAATAGCAAACAGAATTTCCTGCCGGTAGGCAATAAAGAGATCTGTCAGCTTTCCCTCGAAATCGTGCTTCACGTTCGAAAATCCACGACGAACAAACCTGCCCTATAAAGGAGTCCGCGAAGCGACGAAAAACCAAAATTCTCCCTAGAAAAACATAATTTTCGGTACAGCTGTTATTTCTACCTCGTATTGTTTTCTTCTTTTCTACGTTTCTCATTCGCGAAACCTTAAGATACGCGGGGTCATTTTTCTCTGGAAACCATTTTCGACGAGACGTCACGAAAGGAAATGCATGGAGATCGGTATCCGGAGCACTTTTGGTCACTGCTCGTGAAGTCCGGGCGGGCGTTTTTCGAGCGTTCTCGCGCGATGACGGAACCAGGAGATATATCAAGATGAAAACTATGCCAACCGTCCACGGACAATACCGTGTCGCGCGCACTGAGCATTCTCCGAGGGTTGCACGCGTTTTATCTGCTCGACACATCGCCGCTTTTCGAGCTTTTAACGTTCCTCCTCCTCGCCGGTGCAATTTATCTCGCAGGAATTCGGCACGATCACGGTGAAGGAACACGCGATGTGTTTTTTTTCTTTTCAGGGACGCCTTGGTTATCGCCGCGCAACCACCGAGTATCGTTGTTCTTTAATGTATAGGAGAAGGAAGACGAATTCTGGGTGAAACACGAGAGAGAGGCAATTGGAAATTTACGAGTTACTTATGGGGGAATTTTACGGGAATGATTTGTAGCTCTGTAGATTCGATTCTGGATAGTTTGTGCCAGCGATAAAGTGGAGAATTCAATTTTTGGAGAGTGTAAGGTGTAATGACTATTTCACTGGTCTGATTACATATCGAGTTGTTCTACTAGTTTAACCAGTTACTCAAATTTTTGAAAATTTCATATCGACGAACGTTTACTTATTCTCGAGTGTAATGCCTATTTCACTGGTCTGATTACATATCGAGTTGTTCTACTAGTTTAACCAGTCAGTCAAATTTTTGAAAATTTCATATCGTCGAACGTTTAGTTATTCTCGAATGTAATGCCTATTTCACTGGTCTGATTACATATCGAGTTGTTCTACTAGTTTAACCAGTCACTCAAATTTTTGAAAATTTCATATCGACGAACGTTTACTTATTCTCGAGTGTAATGCCTATTTCACTGGTCTGATTACATATCGAGTTGTTCTACTAGTTTAACCAGTCAGTCAAATTTTTGAAAATTTCATATCGTCGAACGTTTACTTATTCTCGAGTGTAACGCTTGTTCTATAGGTCTGACTATGTATTGAGTTGTTCCACTAGTTTAATCAGTTGCTTAAACAACGGTTGTTTTTACTGGGGAGATCTTGAATTTTGTGTTGGCGTGTTTTATAGAGGATGATGTATATATGGTTGAAAAAGACGTTGTCATTTTGTTATCTAATTTTTATTAACGATGGTAATGTTTTTGCATGGTGGCGCGTGATGCTTCGGCGGAATCGTTTGGCAGGATTAATACCTGCAATACACGCAGGTTAAAACGAAGAAGCGATAACATTTATTCACCGGCGATGGACGATTCAGGCGAACGCTCATCAACGTGGAATAAAAAAAAAAGGATAGGACAAAACACTTTTATATAAAATGCGATATCACGTTGCGCTTTATTGCGCGAATGAGATCGTTATAGTCGTAAATTTCGCGGTGTGATCGCGTGACACGTTTTCCCTCTTTCTCCCATCTTTTTCCTCTTTTTTCTGCTTTCAGTATTCTCTCTTCTCTCCTTTCTCTGTCTCTTCTCCCTTATTTTCTCTTTCCTTTTCCTCTATTTCTTCTAGCTTTACTTTTCCCTCCTCTTTTTCCTCCTTTCGCTTTTCTTTTTCCCTCCTTTCCCTTCTCTCCTCTTTTTCCTCTTTTCTCCTTTCTTTTTCCTCTCTTTTCTTTTTCTCTCCTCTCTCTTCTCTCTTCTTTCTTCTCATTTTCTCTCGAAACAAGCTCCATCCTTTACAGCAGCTTTGCAGCAGTAGGCACACAGGCGAAAATATTAGAAAACACGTAAACCTCCCATTTCGATGTGAAAATTATTTCGTCAACCGGTTCAAACGAAATTAATCAAAACGAGCAAAAGCAACGAAACGCGAGATTCTATCCCGGATAAGCCGCTGGATCAGACCTTGTCCGTGTCTTTTGTAACATTTATCGACGTCGACTAATCCCTTCCGTGTTTATGTCATGCTTAAAGTTATCATTTTGCCGTGATTCTCCAGTATGAATAGCGCCCCACTGATGATCTACAACGCGTATATTCCCCTTTAACGATTCCCACTTGCGGTGAAAAATGAACGGGATCACACGCTTGACCACTTCGATCCGATAGAAATGGTCATAAATACGTTCGTTCCTTTCGATAAGAAAAATGCTAAAAAAAGAAAACTCTGGTAAATTCAACAGACAAACGATCAAATAAATATTACTCAATACGTATTTGCCTATCGTTATATTACAAATTTCATCTCTAAGTCCTAAACTACCGTAAACTTCATTTCCCTTCGTTTTCTATCAAGACACATCTAAAAGGAACATGAAAAACGAAGCTCTAACATCGCGCAGTAAACGTCGAATTATCCGAGCTAGTGATCTTTGGCACGGATATGAAGTCTCGTAGTCGTTAACGAGCAACTTCTCTGTTAGCTTCGATTTTGCTCTCTTGAACCAGGATGAAGGGATGCGCGTCGACTCGAACGGTTCCCGGAAATCTTCGCTCCGGAGGAACGCAGGCAGCCTCGTCTGTCGCGTCTCCTTCACCTCGATTTTTCCCTCAACTTCCATTTCCTGCGTCGGATACTAACGGCGGAATTGAACAGGTCAATACGTACGATCCCCGTGTGACGTAATTTACGTCCCCCTTTGCCCGTTTTCCCGAGCGAAAACGTTACGAATCGCTCGTTGCTTGCGCAACAGAGGCTTTGAAGCTGCAAGAATTTCTAAAGGTCGCGACCGTAGAGACTTAGAACGGACAGAACGCGAACTTCTGTAATTTCGAGGAACAATAAAGATCGGTTCAATTGGAACTGAAGGAAAATATCGACGAATTTTTAAGTTGCCAAGTTTCGAGAGGAAATTTGTGTTTGTTTACATTTTCGATGTTTATTCAATTTTTTACTTGGAAAAAGATACTTTTGATACTTCGTTAAGGAATAATGCGTGAAACGGTGATGCGTTTATAAATTTTGCGTCGTTTAAATTCAAAGCGATGCTAATTTCGATGAAAATTATCGCTGAATTTAATTTTCGCGATATTAAAACATAAACCAAATTGAGAGCAGTGACCATTTCTCCAATGAACAGTAAAAACGATCAGACAACGAGTGAATTATAGTTCGACTGAAGGAATCTCCATAAGTGCCACTTACTATTTCCTCCAAAGACTGTACTCCCATTCGAGATCGGCTTTAAGAGGCCTTAAAGGATGATACAGACACTGTGGAACTTTCCTTTTAAAGGATAATAAAGCCCCGGTACACAGTGCAAGATAAATCATTTCGGCGGACGTGAACGAGCACCTGAACAGATCGACTTTATTCCCAAA